AAGAAAATCTGACAGAAATGGTTACAAAACTAAAAATATTAAATTTATTTAAATATGAAGTGATATCAACTTTTACACCTAATTTGGCAACATAAAGATGCACATAATTTGAATGTTGTCGATGTAAAGGCTAAAGACACCAATAAAGTTGTGTAGTGGCTGCCCCGTATCACTGCGAGTTAAATCCCATATAATTGATAGAGGCACAAATAAATGAGGTGGCAGCTAAAAACACAACGAATCTTCTGATGTAGGTTAACATATTTGAGTACTTAGTGTTTTTTGTTTCTGTTTCAATGTAAATGTCAAGATGTACCTTGTTTGTTCACTTGTTATGTTGTATAGGCAGCTCTTATGTATTTTTGTTTTATTTTTCAAACTTTAATATTAATTAAAATATTTTAACAAATTTACAAAATAAAGATACTACTATTCATATGTTGTTTTTTTTTAACCCATATTAAAAAAAATACAAAACTACAATGTAGTATACAAAAATTACAACTGCTCTCGTTTTTATTGTAAAATTGTGGTACCTTACACACATTTAAGCCACTCTGTATTTAACTTAAATAAAAATTCTTGTTCTGCAAGGTATAAGTGGTAAGAGTAGATTTGAGCAGCCGTTTTTGAGATATCTGAATTTATAAAAAAGGCGTCATTTAAATTTTACAATAAAAATGGGAGCAGCTTTAAATTGTTCACCCCTCCTAACCAAATATTTTAAAAATACATTAATTATTAAAAAAATTATTTATGAAAAACTAAATTGGACTTTTAACTCTTTGTATTTCTGAAATTATCCACTTTTGCACTAATATAAGTTGGATTAAATCGTTATATTTAAGCCTCAGGAATATATGGTAGCATTGTTTCCGCAATGTTATAAATTGGTAAACATTGCTTTTTTGGTGTTCTACTTAAAAAAAAATTACAACTTTATTACTGATTTTTTTTAAACTAAAAATTGAATTTCTAATCAAAATTATTAAAATGTTACTAAATATTAAAGTAAATTTTATTTATTTGAAAATAAAACATTTACAAAATTGTTAATTAACATTTAAATTAGAACTACAAAATATTTTGGATATATTTAAAAGTGCTATTGTCATCTGAATATGTCCATAATTTGTGGCCTCCAAAACTTTCATTATTTAACCTAAAACAAATACCTTGTTTTATTATTTTAAATAAATAGCTTGGTACTTAAATAGTCATAAAGTAAAAATTGCTCATAAACGAAAAATACAACGAAACCTTATTTTCAAATTTTAAACCCAAACTCAAGAAAGCAACTCAACTAAATGTAGTTTATAAAATAGACTGCAAAGATTATAACTACACTTACACATATTAAACTCTGTGAATGTGTAAAAGATTTGTCAAACATGTATTTTAATTTAATCAACTAGTTGTAAGCTACCTACACACTATCACAAAATATGGGTTTCGTCCATGATCATTTTAAAGTGTTTATGTTCCTTAATGTTTTTTTAAATTTTAAAAAGCTATGACTGCACCAGCAGAGTCCGAAACATATGTAGTGCTGAATTATTAAAAATATAATCTACTTTTTTATGCCTTAATCATTTTTATTTAATTATTTGTCTATACAATAAACGATCATACAAAATTAAGATAGACATTATCGTACCTGCAAATACACATTTCATTTTCAAAAGGCTTGAAGGATGTCTTAAAAAAATATACCATCTGCTTTGTATTGTATAAAAATATGTTTTCTGATACACAATGTGGAATTTAAGCAACAATTATAAATCCTATCTACAAAAAGAACAGGAGAATGATAAATACCATTATTATTATAGTAAAAGATGGTACCATTGCCCTTTCTTGAACGTCTACATACATTTAATAAGCTGTTGCCAACAAGTTTACACTTTCCACTGTTGAATATAACATCTTGTTAGTGGAGACAAAATTCATATAGATTTGATTTATTTCATTTCCAAACACTTGTCTGCAAATACTTATATCCTATTGTACTTCACAACTTTGCTACATTTTACCTGAAGAAAGAACCCTTATTTAATTAGGAAATCCATATAACTAATGGTAATCTTGTAGTTTAATTTTAAGAAAAAATATTACAAATTAAACTATACCTATAAATAAATATAAAAATAAACTTTATTTTTTTGTACCTGCCAAAATTCTTAATTTTAAATAAGCTTTTCTTCAACTACATATTTTTCAGTTCCTGCTAAATATGTTTTGTAATAGGTAGGTAATAATAGGTGCTTAATTCCATTTCAACAAATAGAACTGGCATACCTATTTTTCTAATTTTTCCATCACATTGAAAAACCTACTATTTACTTTCTTTTCTGTTATTATAATAGACATATAATTTTCTAATCACAGTTAATTATAAAACAATGAATAAAATATCGAACTAAAACTCTATGTTAAACTCAAAATCTAAATTATTTTGTATTTTGTTGGGAGTCATTTTACTCAATTTACTGACATTTAGTCGCTGCTTGAGCGATTCTCTTCCCAACATACTGGTCCGAGCTGCGATATGAGACGAAGTAAGGAAAATATAAAAGCACAACTAAAATACAATAATTATAAATCAAAAACGGAATGAGCACAATTTAGTGTCATCTTTATTCGTTGGTTATCTAAAACTTTGACTTCAATGCATTTATAACAAAGTTTTGAAATGATAGAAGAAAAATTCAAATTTAATGCTAAAATGATATCTAGTTACTTTTTTCGTTATTTTTCCCTGTGTAAATAGGACTTTTCAATTCGCTCCTCTTAGTTTAAAAACAGAGTATAGATCATGTGCGTTTTATATGTTTTGAGACTTAAGATCCAAATGTCACATCCGATTTGACCGCAAATAAGATTTTAAGTAGGTTAAGTAGGTCAACCTGTATTGTATCTAGTATTCTTATCAAGTTACCTCATAAAAATAAAATTTTGCTAGAAGCTATGCTTCCTTACGTCTTATTAGTATGAGAGCCCACTGCAAATTTCGACCGTCATCTGATAACGAAATGAAATATGCTCCAAAAGCATGTAACAACATTGTACTTTACCAAATTGCACCTGTGCCAATCCCTATACTGAGCAAAGTGGTTAAAAAAAATTATTTTATATTCTAAAAATCAAATAAAACATGACAGCGACAATTATGTTTTCCCTGAAAATTACAATCCTAATTCATTGCGAATCTCGCTTTTAAACCTGAATTATTAATATTTTTACCTACCTTTTAAACCATGTTCATGTATGTATGGAAGAAGGATGGTATTGTATAAACCATTTGCAGAGATAGTCATTAATATTTATAAACTCTTGTTAGACAATTATTTTAAACCATAATCATAGTAGTTTTTTTGTCGTTTCTATGGCAACCTGTATAAATGAATCACAACAATAGGCATACAAATAAATTTTTAAATCAGCAAACAGTGATTCATATTTTTAATGATATTTACCTACTAATCGTGGATAGATGTTTTTGTGCGATGTTAAGAGGAAGAAAATATTTCCCTTTAACGATATATATCAAGATATATTTGAATGTTATTTTCTGGAAAACTTTAAGGGCAAACGAAATTAGAGCTGTCATGCCTTATGTGATTTTTTTAATATAAAATAATTTTTTTAAGCTACTTTGCTCAGGATAGGGATTGGCACAGGTGCCATTTGGTAAAGTATAATGTTTTCCCATGCTTTTGGGGTATATTTCATTTCGTTATCAGATGACGGTAAAAATTTGCAGTGGGCTCTTGGGCTATATGTACCTTCAGTAAATATTCTTTTTAAAAACAATGCCTTTTTTCTTCTTATTTACATTAAATGTTCAAAATTTTGCGCTTTTGAAAATTTTTGTGAATACTATGAAATTAGTTTTCTGAAATATTTTATGCTTAATGTTTATTGAAACCTCTTAATGCGGATCTGAAGTATTCAGCTCAAAGGATTATGGCGCCTTTATGTCAAAAGGTTATTAAAAATTTACCGTTTAAAACGAATATATTTCTTATTTTTCATAACATTGGCACTTACATTATTTGTTTGTACAATTTTTTACGATACATTGTGGCATTTTCAACTTCAAATTAAATCACTAAAACCCTTTAAATTGCTAATAACACCAAAAAATAATTTAAAAAACGGCAGTTTCGGCGGTCCATGATGATTCACTATCGCGGAGAAGAGCGTAGAATAGAAATGTTGGAACAATTCGGGTGGCGTCGTGGAAATAATGTTTTTTAATTGGAGAGTCACTTAAGGTGGGATATGTGAAATGTTACATCTCCGGCCTCTTTCATCTAAGATCGTCCCTTTGAGCAAACATAACAACTAAATAATTCAGAAAAATAAATCCTTGACAAAGCGAGTGTAAATAAATATTTTTTCGACTTGTCATTTATAAGTATTTTGGTAAATCAGCGCAAACTCGTTATTTTTTGTTTTCGATTAGTTCTATGATGTTAATTTTCCAGTGCGGCTCACGGAATATTATAAAAGTCGTCAACGAAAAAAAATTGTAATTTTATAATCTACGATTTTTTTATTATTTAGTAGAATTTTAATTTTTAGTTTAATCTACAAAAGTGTTCTTTATGATTTTATTTTTTTGCGCCATTATTTATTAACGCCTCTATATTTAAGTGAAAATTGATTTTTTTTAAACAAGCCTTTAAGGTCTACATATTTTGTGCCGTTTTATATTGGGGTACTTAAGTCAAATTGTAACGCCTAAAAATTCAAGTGATAAATTATATCTTTATTTTGTTTAATAATTCTGATGTAATTCTACAGTTTTGATTCGGAATGAATACTGATAATTATTCCAAAATCTCCAAACAATTATTGACCTATTTTTTTTATTATTATAAACAAGCCTATCAATGATGACGATAATCTAATTAACGATATTTTTAATATTTTGATCACGTTTAAAATACAATTGGCGATTTGCAAAATCAACTTATTTTTTTATTTTTGATGGACTAAACCATAGTGAATGCAGTGTTTAATTAAGGTATTATTTTAATCGTTTTTACTTGTATGTTTTTTTTATTTATACTAAATGGATTTTGGGAAACGGGTCAGTGTAGAATAGCGAAACTGTCTATTTCTTGTGGAAATCTGTTTTTGTAAAGAGACACATTATTATAATTAGGGTTTAAAAATATATTGGAATATACATGGTAGTCTATATAAATGCTTTAAATCAAAATTTTACTGTTACTATTTAATTTTTACTATTTACTATTTTTTTTTATATGGAACATTTTAACTTTTTAATAAACAAAATACTTTTAAGTAGTAGAATTATTGTGTCTTGGGATATCTTTATTGAAATTGTTCTTACAATATTCATTAGGCTTATTTCTTTTAATTTCAAACGTGGAATTTTCGGAATTAATTTATCTTTCTTGTTACAGCTAAAATGTTTATAACCGACAAATTGGTGACCGACCTAATTATAGCGGTTGTAACTCTTATAATCGCTGCTTATTTATACATTAAACATAAGTACAGCTATTGGACCAAAAAGGGTATTCCTCAAATTCCACCCACTTTCCCGTTTGGTAATTACGGCAAAGGATTACCTAAAGGTATGTCGTTGGGTGCGCATTCTGCAACATATTATGACGAATTTAAAAAGCACGGACACAAATTAGGGGGTAAGTATACTATGTATATGTAGTAGTCTTATAGTGAAATTCGTCCCTTCATGAAGATCCTAGTCATAGTCATAAAGCGTCGACAGTCGACATATTGTGTAAAATCATGAAGCTACACAATCTGCAAATGCTTTTTTAAAATTACCACATTATTTCGGCGTATAACGTCGTAACATAATCTGTTTTAATTTAAATATCGGCACTTTGTGAAGTAACGATTTACGACAGATTGTGTAACGTATTTATTTTATCTGGTTTCATTGAAGCTGATAGTATTTGTTTTATTATTTCTGGTTATTATAGAGAAAAATAATAAAAATAGGTTGTTTAATGCAAACTATAGCAAATATTATACGTCATGTCTGAACAAAAGACCTTACAACATGCAGCATAAATAATTATTTTAGGTTATGTTATGAACCATGCAAAATATACGTAAAGACCAAAGCTAGATAATATAGGGTGGGCACAATAATAATTATTTAAGCGTATTCGTATGGTAAATCCGTACATGGTGCGTTTATATCTTACTAGAAGCTTTATTATAAGCTTTAGAACTGGTTAAAATTTGTTTGACATAGCTATTTCATTTGCCGAATATTGATCGTAAGATTTCTAATATAAAGTTATTTAATATGTTTTGTTCGTTCTTTTACTTTTGGATTAATCCCTTATTATTTTGTTCAATACTTTACCAATTACGATAAAGGGTTGAAACGCATAGAAATAGAAAAATTCTAATTTAATCTAAAATCATCATAATAAAATTTTTTCAACAAATACTCCTGTGGCAATTCTCCTTATTGATTACAGACTACAGCGTCTTGTGGCACATCTGCCGGTATAAAAGTATTATTTTTCGCATTTAGTTATGAACTTCAACTTAATGAATCATGCACTTCTTGAGGTTAATTACTTAAAATAGTAGAAAGAAAATATTTATTACCATTTTATAGTATTAAATATAATAATTTTAATTATTTATTTTTTGAGACTTAACCGTTTTGTCTCGGTAAAACTATTAGGTATTAGCTTAGTTTTATCTCTAACATTTTTAGCTATGACTGTCTTACTATCGGTATCAGTATCACTTAAAAAAATTGAAAATTTTCGTCATTTTTTTAGAAAATTTTGGTTAGCACAGGAAAATATTACTTCCCATTTATTAATATTAAATATAAAATAACTTTAACAATTTTTGTTATTTATTTTATGAGACTGAACAGTCTTGTTTTTTAAATCAACACTAAACCGTTTTTAAGTTTACCCGAAAAAGTACAAAAATGTAATAATATGAATACGAAGGGTCGAGGCACGTAACCTATCGGCTGATAAGAGAGTGGTTTTTGTCTAATTTTTTGGTAGTTCACTCTTTAAAATTGTGCTCGATCAAGTGGAATAATGGTACTACATGCATGATATCTATTTGGACGAGTATGGGAAATATAATATCATATATCGGTTATGCATTAGTATATCAATATACCGGGTGTCCGCGCGAAAACTTTAAATGGAAATATTTCTGGTGTTTTAAAATATATCGACTTGAAATTTTGGAAGGTCATTAAGGAAGTAGGGGGTAAATTAATAGTGTATAAGATATCACTCCAACGTGATATCTGCCGCATCCAGCCACTCCCGGTTCAAAAGTTTAAATGACACCCTGTATTGTTTTTTACATATTCTGAAGGAGCGTAGTTTTTTTAGTATCTCTATGTGAAAAAATTACTTAATTACCTAATGAACTTTGAAAGATATTTACAGCTAAAGGTTCAGATACCAGATATTAAAAAAAAGAACTAGTAACCTTGGACAGTAGACAAATTTCGAAATAATTAAAGCAGATAGAAACAAAAAAAATCTAATTATCCAAAAAAATATAACTTATCACAAAAAATACAACTTATCACAAAAATAGGTATTCTTATAGACCAACAAAATTTCGCTTTATAAACTAAAGTAAGGACTCTTTTTATTTTTTTAGTTAAATCAAATGTTCAAAATGTTCACCGTTTACATTTAAACAATAGTACAGTCTATTCTCGAAAGCGTTCCGAATATTTTCAAAGACATGTGGTGTTAAATCTCTACGTTCCTCTATGATTCTATTACGCAAATCATCAATGGATTGTGGTGGTGTCCTGTAAACAACAGACTTCAAATGTCTTCATAAAAAGAAATCCAGTGGGGTCAAGTCTGGGGAGCGAGCTGGCCATTCAATAGGACCCCTACGACCTATCCATTGTCCTGGAAAAACGGTATTTAAATATTGCCTTACTTCTAAACAGTAATGAGGGGGAGCTCCGTCTTGCTGAAAGTATAACTGATCCTACTGCATTTGATCTAAGTTTTCTTCCAAGCACTGAATGATAAGAGGATGTATTAATTCTTCTAAAAACTCGAGATATCTAGGCCCAGTTAAATTCTCGTGATAGGAAATTGGACCAATTATTTGGTTATTTAGAATTCCAGCCCATACATTAATTTTTTGGGGACGTTGCGTATGGCCTTCTCGGAAAACGTGGGGATTAACATCGCTCCAATATCGATAATTGTGTCTATTTACGAAACCATTTAAGGAAAAGCAACTTTCGTCACTGAAACAAATATTTCTATTTTGCCGAATGATGCCTGTCATAGTTTCACAAAATTGGACTCTTCTATCGAAGTCATCGTCGCCCAACTCTTGATGAAGCTGTATTTTATAAGAATGCATTTTATTTAATTTTAATATTTTATGGCATGTTGTTTTTGCCACTCCCGAAGCTTCTGATAATGTTCTAACTGAAAGCTGTGGGTCTAAATTTACGTGACCAAGAACTGCAACTTGCGTTGAATCATCTCGTGCTCCACGATTATTCATATCATGTTTTTTATTATTTACCGATCCAGTTTCAAACATTTTTTATATTAGATTAATTACATAAACAGCAGATACATTTTTGTTGGGATGGTTTTCGTTAAATAATGCTGCCGTCTGCGAATAGTTTCTGTTTGCAATCCCATATAAAACTACAATTTCAGTTCTTTCTTCCAAACTGTAAACCATTTTTCTATTTTTTCAGCTATTTATTTAAACTAAATCAATTTTTTTCGAAAATTTTCAAACAATAATATTTGACAGTTCAAGCAACGAAGCAGCTTTCATGGCTTGCTATTATTTTTTGCTTTCGATATTTGAATATCTGGTATCTGAACCTTTAGCTGTAAATATCTTTCAAAGTTCATTATGTAATTAAGTAATTTTTTCACATAGAGATACTAAAAAAACTACGCTCTTTCAGAATATGTAAAAAAAATATAGGGTGTCATTTAAACTGTTGAACCGGGGGTGGCTGGGGGCGGCAGATATCACGTTGAAGTAGTATCTGATACACTATTAATTTACACCCTACTTCCTTAATGACCTTCCAAAATTTCAAGTCGATATATTTTAAAACACTAGAAATAATTCCATTTAAAGTTTTCGCGCGGACACCCGGTATTCCCAGGGAGGGATATCGCGCATAGTGTCATGGCGGCGCTGACGTCATGCGTAGAGTTAGTAGAGTTGGCGCCAAGTAAATATCATATGACAGATGCACGTTGCAGTGATTTGTAAGTTATTAATAGTGATTTATAACATTTTAAGCGAATATCTGTATTATATTACATTGTAGACAGTGTTCTTTGTGAGTGGTATTAGTGATAAACATTAAAAAATGAGGTACACAATTTACGGATGTAAGAGTAATAATCAACGCAAAGGACTCGAAATTCCTCGATAGTAAGATGTTAGTCAGAAATGGCTAAAGGGCGGCTCTAGTTGTAGGTCCCAGGGAATCTCGGCTCCTTCCTAATTAACATTTTTGCATTCTATGAGGCCTTTATTGAAAAATATAACAAAAAGAAAAATGTTATAGACAATGCTACCCACTCCTCCTCGAAAATTTGACAAAGACGCCCTTGCAGTGGCCTGTGGCCGTGCAGATAAATTTAAAACAGAAAATTGTCATAGGTGCTCGAAACATTTTTAACCTTTTAATTATAAGATGGATCTCAAAGCAAACCTTCACGTTAGTTCATTCGCAACTCAGGACTTCTTAACTGGGGACTCTACCCTTTTGAAAGCTAAAAATTTCGCAATATATAGCAAAAGTAAAATTATTTATGTCGCAAAAAAATAAAATTTCGGCATGTTGTACTTGATGAAAGAATTAGAAAACTATCAGTGACTAGGTCCAGGAAAAATGCAAACATTTTATTTTAATTTTGTATATATACCCACCATGTAGCAGTTATTTGTATTTAGTACATTTATTTTAATGCTGTGTATTATATTATATGTCGCCGTTCCGGTAAAACAATGACGCAAATGCAAAATTTTAAATTTTTCAGGAGAGACGAAAAACGAATATTATTACTTCCAAATTTGGGCAAATAAATCACAAAGAACTTGTCCTGAATAGCAAATACGACATTTAACCATGGAGTAAGTAATGTCTCCCTTAATTTTGCAGACACAACTGATTCATATGTCATTTTTTCCAAAAGTGGAGGGGAAAACATTATTATTTGAAAACTGATGCAACTACCATTTAGCAGCCGCGAGTGAATATAGAATTATGCCGTTGTTATACCTTATAGAGAGACTTATTTGGAAACTAATAACGTGTTAAAAACAAAATGTCGCAATTTTGAACTTGCGTCATTGTTTTACCGGAACAGCGATGTATAAAAAATATTTTTTAAAAACCTGTTTTTGTTATCATACTTATAAATAAATCCCATCTTATTCATAAAATAAGTTAAGTATATTTAATTGAGTAATATATTGCAGATAAATGAGTCATCAGTTGCGAATCCTAATCATGTAAATAGTCCTAAAATGCGAAATTTTCACCTAGGGTCCCCAGATGAGAAATTCCGAGTTGCGAAAATACCCTTTTCATTATCCTGGTCATAGAAACTATTCGTCGGATGTTCTTCTAAATTAAAATCTGCATTAAAATTTATATAACAAAAATAAATCATTAAAAAGAAAAAAGGAAAAAACTAATACTTCAAATAAATATTTCTTTCATATATGTATTTGAGTTTATTTTCCTTAATAGCTCTTTCCTTAACTATCCCATAATAATATCCTTAGATATTTAATGTCATTTTTAAAATATTATCCTTTAATATTGATTAAATTTCTGTAAATACCCTTTAGTTTCCTCATACTTCGACCGTATTTTTAAATTCCCGCCTATACAAACTCTACGCATGACGTCATGCGCGTGTTCATCCTATTTTTGACACAGATGATATCCTACCTTCTATTTTTTATACCATGATATATACCAGTATATACCAATTTTTATTTAAATTAAAACATTGAGTTTTAAACCAAACAAAACTTTCTATTGAAACAGCTAAATAGAAAAATTATACATAGTAACATTTATTAATTATTTATTATTGATTTTGTTTTATTTCCTTATTTATAGGTGTCTATTTAGGTTTGGATCCATATCTGGTTCTGATTGATGTTACACACGCAAAAAATATATTTAATAAAGATTTCTCAAATTTCGCAGATCGTGGTATCTATTACAATAAAAATCATCCCATTACTGTGAACATATTAACGCAATGTGGAGAAGAATGGAGAACTACAAGGGTAAGATATTCTTTTTTTCATCCATTTAGGCACTGTTCTGCTATCTCACAAGAGATTCAGGTAGACTCCCCCATTTAGACTTGTATCTAGCCACTGGCTCCCAATAATCCAGCTTAGGGTCCAGTCTGCTTCTTCTCCTCTTTGGATTTACATAGAGGCACTGAGACGCAGATAGCCTATTGTACCACCATTTGGATGCCCTACTCCTTTCCATTCATTATATGTCGATGGTTAACCACTAGTCAGCTAAGTCCAGCGTTCACTCATCCAAGACGTGACCGGATATCACTGCTTAACTGCCGCGAGAACGTGAATGCGTACTAGTCTTTTCCCTTATTTTCCATTATTTAAATAATATACAATATTTAAACGAATAACAAAATATTTAGTATTTACTAAAATTTTTTAAATTTTATAAAACTAACCAATTTTATTTGAAAATCCATTTTTTTTGTGACTTTTAATTAATTACAAAACAAAATGACGGCTCCTTTTTTAATTTTGATTTATTATCCGAAACTATTTTAAACTTTTTTCAAATATTGAATTGTACACTTGTTTAAATCGATGCAGAAATTACTGAGAAATTTTGTAAGCAGCTAACAAACTTAATACTAATTTAACAATCAATAGTGATATAAGAGTTTTTATTTGACTAAAAACACAATCTTTCAGTATTCGGGGCTCAATTTTCAATAACAATTTTTATGGTGCCCCCTACCTTTTCTTTTTCATATAATAATAAAATACGACGTATATTATGCGTTGAAAATTTTGATCCTAATCTCCTTAGTGCAGCGTGTTGTTGGTGCCCTATTGCCTAGAATTTAGGGCTAGAGCTTTAATATAGAACCTAATTATCGAGAATAGGTAAATTTTTTGAAACTTAGCAATGCTGCTCCGTTACATCCCATATAGGTAAAGCATAAATCCGGAATCGATGTTTCTCATCCGCACTCTGTCATTTACGACGGATATCGATCATTCTCGCGGCTTACTGTCGCTACGAGAAGTTTCTATTTGTCTGGAATAGTATGGAAGATCTGCTCGACAGCGGAGCAAGCGTGTATAAATGCTGCGGTTGTTAGAGTATCCGGTCAGTTTTGGTCGAATCTCGGTGCCAAATTTTGAATATGCAAATAATAGATGAAACTAAACTCAGGCAAGAAATAGACAACACACAATGGCTTAACAAAGACGAAAACACACACAATTTAGCGGCATAAATACAATGAAAATTTCAACAAATTCTGAAAAATAGCTCAACAGTCCGCACAACAAAGAGAAACAAATCTACATAAACATGGTGGACAAACGACCTGAACAAAGTAAAAAAAGAAATGAACAAAAGACGCAAAATATATCAATCATAACAAAACGAACACTTCAGATATATAAAACACGACGCAAACAAAAGACAAAGTCGTAACTACAAATAGAAAATAAAAGACAGTAAACGACAAACGCTTAGACAAACCTCAACCACAAATGACCCCAACAGCCAATGGAAGACCTCATACAAAATCATAAAAAACAGACACCCATAGCCCAATATACTAACAACATTAGTGACAAAAGACAAAACGTGGACGAGAGACAGAATAGAGGCAATCAAATATCTACATACCAAATACTTCCCCACAGACAACGAAAACAAAGACACTCACGAGCAACGAACGCCCACACAAAACACAGATATATCGAAGGCGGAGATCAACAACACCCTAAAAGGCATGAAACCAAACAAAGCGACAGCAGAAGACGGACTTAACAAAGAGCTAATATCAGACCAGAATAATAAAAGCTACTGTCAGACCAGAATATATCAAGCTTTTTGTTCTGCTATTACCTACTCGACCAAGTGATACAGTCTGTAGTCAATTGTTTCCTTTACACCAATGGAATATATAATGTCAGACCAGAATATATCAAGCTTTTTATTCTGCTATTACCTACACGATCAAGTAGTACAGTCTGTAGTCAGTTGTTTCCTTTTACACCAACGGAATATTTGTTAGTCAGACCAGACATTACCTTCTAACTTTTGATTGTCTGCTACTGCTTATTTTTTAAAGCAATACTGTCTGTAATAGCTACCTTAATTTTTGGTAATATGTATTCAGTTACTAATAGTATTTTCTACCTAATTTCCTAGTTAACATAATTTTCTCTTTACATTTCTCTTAATTTGTTGGTATAATTTTGGATAAGTATTTGAAACTATCTAGTTTGCAATTACCAATTTAGGAGAGTGTCCGAATTATATTAGTAAATTTTGTTTTTTATTTTCTTTTCATTTGCTTGCTTAACACTGTATCTATCAGTTATTGATATAGTTCTGTACAAGTTTTTGAAACTGAGATGTCAGTTTGCATTAACCATTTTAGGAGAGTGTATAGAAATATATTTATAATTTTTTCTCGCTATTGAATCTTAGTGCAGTGATTTATTCAAATGTCTTTACCTACTTTTTATTAAATTTAGTAAATTAAATTCTACATTTTGTTTAGATTTTGAGTTTCTTCCCTTTATAATTAATTCTTTATTATGACTATTTAACTGAAACATTTATTAGAATTTTTTTTTCTTGTTTGGTAGTAAATTTATATATTGTTATTAAATATAAGTAATATTTTAATTTGTTTACCTTTTCCTTAAATTCAATCTTAAAATACCTAAGTTGACTTTGAACTATATTATCTAGCATTTTATGTTTTTTCTTTATATGGTTAAGTACCTCACTTTTGCATAACTATTTGATCCCGAACTAAGTTTAAATTATATTTTTATACAAGTAGTAAAAGTTTGTATATCTTTATTCTTTTTTCTATTATAATTTGAGAATTTATGCTTTTAGCAATATCGTTTGATACCTCTGTTTTTACTTTATATTGAAAATAATTTAGTTGAGTTTTGCAAAATTTCATATTTGGGTTAACTTTAGGTTAACAGATAACTTGCATTACTATAATTTTTTTACCAACCTTTACTACTTTGTATATATCTTTGCTGATTTACACTGAGAAAAGTGACAGCATTACGAAGATGTTTCGTATACCTTGCCTGATGTGCTCACTGTTGTGTGTACATTATTTATCTTGATTTTCATAATTTATCTTGTATAATATTATTATATATCTTTATTCACTAGTTAAGTGAATGTTTTATTTATCGTTTAATAATATTATGTTTACCTTTAGTACATAATGTACTATGTTTTTTGAATATCAAGATAGTTACCTTTGATTTGAAATGGTTCACCTTTATTTAGTTATCATATATGCAAATATAGTTCAATGATCATTCTTTCTAGTTACCTTATCTACCTTTATTTACCTTCATTTACCTTTATCTTATCTTTCCCTGATTGAGACTTTTGTATGGTATAATAGTGCAGATTTAAAGTTAAAATAATTTTTTTCATTTTAATCAAAATTTTCTTAAACAAGCACTTAAAAGCTAAAGTAGTAAATCTTCTTAGTTTAAGTTATAAATCTTTAGTCTTTAAGGGCTACACTCAAAATTTCAGTTGTCTTAAATCTTTTTAATGGCCATCTGATTTTAAAAAGGTAAGTTTCCTACCGATATTTTGTTGAAAATATATATTTAGTACAAGAAATGTCAAATTTGAAACATAACCTCTACACCTCAACACATTGAAAAACATAAGACATCACATGTTTTATATAAGTTCATATATTATTTTGTTTAAAAATAGATAATATGCTTTACTATATTTATATATGTTAAATAAGACTTGTTCTTTTCCTATTAAATTCTAGTCTTTGTGTAACTATTCAAATAATAGTTTAATTTGTTCATTTGATAGTAAAAAGCATATTATCTGTTCCTATATACTCTTTCCGGCTCCCTTCTTTATATTTTTACCTTTTTCTTTGTAGCCTTGCTATATATAGATGGTCTGAAAATCTTAAAGAAATTCTAGAAGTTATATATATGGTTTCAGTAGATTTAGATGGTTCGATAGAAACTAAATCGAGGATTCAATAGTAGCTGTCTCTACATGAATTTTGGAAGAACGTAGAATTTCATCAAGAAGTTTAGTTCACAAGAAGTTTAGTTAACAAGATTTACACTACCTTGTAAATTCTCACAGGAAGGCCTCTACAGTTACCTGTTACCTGTTTCCTGTTTCCTGTATACCTCCAGATAAGTCAATAGATCATTTAAATTTGAAAAAAAAAAAAATTCTGTAATGTGATGTTATTATTTTATAAATATTTATAGTGTTTTAAGCTCTACGATTTTGGGAAGTGGGTCAGGTTATTAAACAACTTATATGACTTTAAAAGAGAATATTGGACGCCACTATATTTAAAACTTTTTAAACTTTACAATCGATCAGTGATGAAAATATAGAAAACCACTGATCTTTATGATATTATAATTAAATAAGGTAGCGACAAATTCTAATTCACAGAGATTAATTATTCAAATTTAAATGATTTATTGACTTATCTGGAGGTATACAGGAAATAGGTAACAGGTAACTGTAGAGGCCTTCTTGTGAGAATTTACAAGGTAGTGTAAATCTTGTTAACTAAACTTTTTGTGAACTAAATTTCTTGATGTATTCTACGTTCTTCCAAAATTCATGTAGAGACAGCTACTATTGAATTCTCGATTTAGTTTCTATCGAACCATCTAAATCTACTGAAACCCAGGGGCGGTTTCTTCATTGTTTCATTTGTGCAGTGAACACCCAGTTCAATTTCATAAAGACACATTATTTTAAAATTACATAAATAACATAAAAATATAAATTTAGTTTTAATATTTTTATTTTCATACGTTTTAATCTATATTTTTTGGTACATCATTGCTTTCTAGCTGATCGCGTCTCTGTGGCACAATATATCTAAGTAAACCTTGTCTGTGGCGCATTATGATAAGTGAGCCTAACACGCGAGAGACGATTTGACGAATACATATAGCTAAAAAGAGATGAAAACACGCCAACAGATCCTTCAAACTGTCAA